TAGAAAAGAGAATGGAGAAAACAGAATTCTCGATTGTGTCTCACGTCGACACAATCGCGAAGTAGTTGTGCATTCTAGACAAGGAAAAGTGACAGATAGTCGCGGAGCGGAAACATGCCTACTTTAAGCGTGAAATAAGCACGAAACGTGTGGAATTTCGGCCCTCTCGTGACGCCGGCTAAAGTCTGATGAAAGCGCCATGGTGTGCTCCGACGTTACACACAAAGTGGTTTCATACAGTGCTGTAGCACTACGAGCAGACCCATTCAAATTGCGTTTCAACTATTTCTTGTCGTTTTGCATGCCGCAAAAGCGGTAGATTAATTAAATTCGTTAATTGCAAGATGCATTTAGCGCGAGCAGCAATGTCGGGAATGGTAGTCCTTGCCGCGGTCCCTGCGCCTGGCCGTGTGTACCCCGTGTAAGTACGTACTGCTACGGGGTTCACTTGCTTCTTATTCTTCGCACGCTGTCGGCGTTAGCACGTAAATTCAGAGAAAAAAATTGGTGACAAAAGAGCAAAGGGCTCATTTTGTACATCCACCTTATTTTTGTATTTCTTCATACTCGATAAAACGGTGAATTCTTTAAATGCTTTGTACGTGTAGCACAATCTTCGATGATTTCGCGTGAATCGTCGTTACTCGCTATGTACAATGAGAATAAAAGATATATCTCTCTGTTTTTTTTTTCATTATTTTTTATTTTATTTTTTATTAAACTCGTTTTCACTGTTTTATTTCTGAAAATACATTTTGATAAACCGTGGACGAATAGCTTGATTATTTGCAGTCGTTTATCTCGTTAAATTTAACAAAAGTTTATTGATTTTTACGAACGTGTGTCGTCGAAAAACGAGTTAATTGTGGTTTCGGGTATTTTCATCGATTAACCAACGCAAATATTGTCCAGTGTACTCTTTAGTGTTTGGAATTGTACCTCCGCAATTGTAGACTGTTACAATCGTGCCATCTGTGTCGCGTAACGAAATTAACAATGGTCGTTTTTTTTTTTTTTTAAACATTCATTGTCTACCTTTTGACTCGTGTTATTATCGTGTATATTGTAATTATTAAAAGTCGTTGTATTTGTATTTATCACGTGCAATTGTTTATTCTGGAAATTCAAAATTGTCACGATTTACAGCAGCTTCGATACTACGTTATTTTGGATTTCCCTTCCATTTCAACAATCATGATATATATTATTACAGAATGGTACACGGAGGATTAATCTTTTGCGGTCCAAGAATTGTCTTCCAGACAATTTCAAGCACTATGATTTCATTAGCTCTAGAAACATTATTATTCTAAAAAATACAAATATATATATATATAAACGTTTCTATCTTTTCACAAATATTTTTATCTCTTTTTAAACACCATTCTCTTTTGTTAAATAAATTCAAAATCTAAAAAACACAATAAGTTCCATCAATTATAAAATTAATTTGACAAATAGTTATTCACTCTTACACGGTTATATTTCGTATGTGTAATTTTAATATTCGCAAAGAATTACTTCAATTCTCCTTCCATTGTTATTTAAAGTAAACGAAGAAAGATATATAGTATACCTATTTTCAAAGATTTGTAGAAAATATCCTATTTTATTGTATTATTATATCTTCGATGAAAAATGATTCTTCCACAGGACCGATATTTCGTCGCGTCGAAGGGGTTAATCGTTGGTCGGCAAATCGAATTTCCCACCTTTGATACGCGAAGTCGACGACAGGCCCCAGCGTTTGGCACACAGCGTATGCCAAATCGAGAACGGGTAGCCATTATCGATAGCGCACGGTGGTTCGTCACCACCTATGTGTGTCCACGGCGATGATGACGATGCATGCGGTGCAATCAGGCTAATAAGAACGTGGCCCACGCGTACACAAGTGGACACATATGGGCCGGTGTGTTTATTCAACCAGACACCCTGGCTAAGTGACAGAATACACGTTGGTGCGCGATTTTGGTTCACAGAGGAGGACTTGATGCACGGGGGTGGTGCGGGTATTGGCGGGGGTTCTATGGTCGGACAGAACTCAATATTTGGGTGCTCGGCTGCAGGACACAGCGGGGTTAACCAGCTTGGCGGTGTTTACGTCAATGGCCGACCATTACCAGACTCTACAAGGCAGAAGATCGTTGAACTGGCCCACAGTGGTGCTAGACCCTGCGACATCTCGCGCATACTGCAAGTCAGCAATGGCTGCGTCTCCAAGATACTAGGCAGGTCAGTGATTTAAGATCGCGTTGAAATTTGATCAAATTCCTTCTTCCCATACGTTTCGTTTCCTTTTTATGTGTTTGGTTATAAAGTTGTAAATAAAAGATGGTTCGATACACGAGGAATATTACATTTTTGCATTGAATTTATCAATTCAATTTATCTCGTGTTATTAATATCCACGATTCCATTATTACTTTTTTATTGGTGTTAATTTTGATCGAGATGCGAGAAAAATATTATTTATTTTCACCGTGTACAGCTCGTTCCAATCTCTCCGCCGACAAAGAAATTGGTTATTTTTCCAGGTACTACGAGACCGGTTCAATTAAACCACGTGCAATTGGCGGTAGCAAACCACGTGTGGCGACCACGCCGGTAGTGAACAAAATCGCCGACTATAAACGAGAGTGTCCATCGATTTTCGCTTGGGAGATTCGCGATCGACTTTTGCAAGAGGGCGTTTGCAACAACGACAACATACCGAGCGTGAGTATCCTCCGATTCCATCATATCTCGTCACTTTTCCTTCAGAAACGGTCCCAAACGATCGAAACTCGATCAATCTCAAATAATCGACCATCTCGAGACGAGCATCCCATCGCTCTTTGAACCGAAAAACTGGCTCTCGTTCGAGCGTGCAATTAGCAAATGACGAGAGAGATCACCTCTTTCCAGAAGAAAAGCGCAATGACTCTGGCGTCCTGTTCCAATCCATCCAGGAACGGAATGCTCATTCGCCTAGACGCGCTTTGTGCAATGGCGGCGGTTTATCAGGGCGCGCACCCCTGTCGATACTTACCCGTCGGATCTGGCCACTCGACCCTAATCAAAGTCTCGTCAATACGATCTGGTGGGATAGGTAATCGGCCCATTACGCGGGCCTTGGCATTGTCCACCCCTTGGGCTTCCATCCCCTCCAAACATCCTTTCCTCTGCCCTTCTCTCTCCTCGAGTCGTTGCGGAGGAAAGGTCGCCTTTTCCTCGCGAGAAGAAGAAGCTAGATCCCTTTCGATTCCGCCTGGTGGCTGTCAGGAATCGAAGGGGACGACACGCGTACGAGTCGTTATCCGTCGGCTCGTGAACCACTCGCTTTTCCCGATTCTCTAGGAACAGAGAGGAGCGCACGAATCCTGTGCGCTCTCGAGTTCGCTCGCAGGGAGGGGAGGGATGGTTGATCAATCGGCGAGAGAGAGGGAGAGAGAGAGTATCCGCTCTTTACTTATCCGGTGTTCGGAAAGGAGGAACGCGGTTCGATCAGCGGCTTTTAAATCGTGGAACGATCGTTATAATGATCACAGAGTTTCTGTCTAGGCGAAGAGAGGATCGCGCGAATAGAATTGAATAGAGTTGAACGAGACTCGGTTTCTCTTTTGACAACTTCGTTCCATCAAAATCTCCCTCTCGTTTGCGATAGAGTTTCCTTGAATCGTCTCACTTATCGTTGTTTTTAATGAATAATCGTTAATCGCTTTAAATTAAGATAAAGACAACATTCCAAATCAACGAAACATCGAAACATAGAATCCTCCTCCTCTTCGTATCGACGAATCGTTTCGAGGAATCTTCGATCGGGAGGGGATGGTTTGCACCGATGACGACGACGGCGATTGTCTCGCGCAACGACGTTAACGGTAATGATAGCAATGACGATGATGGTAGTGGTGGAGCGCCGGTTGTTGCGGTGGGTACATATCGTCCGCGGCAATGGGGTGCGACGGGGTTAGTCGCCGACGAGCGGATGGAAGCGGGTAGAATCAGGGTGAATGGGATCAGTTAAGCGTGTTGCACAATTATTCGTGTCCGGTCGCGCGTGTAATGGTCTGCATCGGTGCTGCGGCTGTTGTGCGGCGAGAGCCGAGTGGAGCGAAGCGTAGAACAGCCAGGTTGCTTGGTTTGATGATGGAAAGCCTAGGCTCTGGAACTCTGCCTGTGGAACTCTCTCTCTCTCTCTCTCNNTGTGT